GAATATAGAGTATCAAGAGTATATTTCACTATAACACAGTGATACCGAAATGATTTTATCACATACGTATATTAAAACATTATTTGAATATTTAAAGAAACTTTTCTTATCACATGCTTGGCTTTTTTGGCTTTTGAATCTGAATAATCACTGTCTGAATTGTGGTTTATTTGACTTGTTTACTTAAATATGAATATATATTGACATTTTATTTTATTTATTTTTCTATTTTGGCGATTCATTAATTTTTTTATTATTTAAAAATGTGAATGTTTTTATATGTCTGATAATAGGTATTTTTGTAAATAAAATAATAAGTAAGCATTTTTAAATTTAATGTTCTAAAAAAAGCATTTATGTAAATACAAATAGAGAGAAGGAGAGAAATAACATATTTGATAAGGTGTTTAGCAAATTATAGCATAATTTTTTAAACATATAGTTTATAGCATAATTTAATATCTTAAACTTCTAATAATATTAAAAACTCAAAAATACTCCTTAACCATCTCTCTCCTTCCCCCTCTAGTTAGGTCCACAATAGCCGGCTCTAGAGATTCGCAACCAGTGCCGGCGACCGCCAAATACCATATTTATCTGAAAATTTGGCTTCTGGCGTCGGTGACTGATAAATACTATACTTTACCATCAAACATCGTATTTACTCGTAAATACCATATTTATCTAAAAATCCGACGACCGGCTCCGAGGATCATTAAATACATATTTACTGTTAGATATTGTATTTACTTATAAATATTGCATTTATCTGTAAATATGACTGTCGGCGACGGTGAATAATAAATACTATATTTACTCATAAGTACCATATTTATATAAAAATCTAGACACTAACTCCAGTGTCCTTTAAATACCATGTTTACCTATAAATATCATATTTACTTGTAAATATCATTTTACCTAATAATCTGAATATTCAACCGCCGATGCCAGTGGCTGGGAAATACCGTATTTATTAATATTTACTCATAAATACCATATTTATCTGAGACTCTGACTGCCGACCCGGAGACTAGTAAATACCGTAATTATCAATAAATATTGTATTTACTCATATTATTCGGATTTACTGGTAAATACTTTAAAAATATGAGTTTACTACTTTTTTATGTTGTGTACAAAAATTTCAACAAATTAGCTAATATTCCAAATTGATCCCAAAACTCTCGAAATCAAAATCCTAACCCTTACCCTAACCCAGAAATTAGATTTACCTGGTAAATGAAAAATTTACTAGGTAAATAGAACATTTACCATATAAAAATAAGCGTGAAATTAAAATACCTATTGGTTGGTAATGATGCATTTGTCAAGTAAATTCATCATTTATTGTAAATTCATTTACCAAGGGTATATATGCGCAAAAATTTTAAAATTTGGGTCAAAGTGTGATCTTTTGAAAATTAAGGGGTCAAAAAATAATTTTGAAAAACTTACAGGGTCAAAATAATATTTTTTAAAAAAATTAAGGGGTCTAAATATAATTTTTTAAAAGTTAATGTTTGGCAAATGAAAGATTTACTGGGAAAATGTACATTTACCACACAAAATTATATAAGGGTAAAGTTGAAGCACTATGTAAGTTGCTTATTTTGGATATATTGGACTTTTACACCGTGATTAAGCTTGAAACTTTATTGTTTAGCCTTCCCCCAATTTATTAATACTGATCAGGACAATGTAATTTGGTACTTAATTTGAAAACTTTTGACCACTTTTTCATACAGGGCAATGTGGAATTGATTTTTACCAAGGGTGATCTGAGATTCTGAAGGAAGTCAGGGAAGAAGTTGCCAAGTACAAGGTGAGTCTATTCTATCGACTATCATCGAGGATACTATGCGGATAATTAACTGTGCTCTGACTGTTATTTTGTCTTCACGATTAATCTAAAAACATGATGGATTTTTTTTTTAAATGCTTAGTCATAATCATTTCCATGTGTTCTAGATTTTACTTGTAAACACCAGGTATTCCTTTGTGCAATTAGCCACACACAAAAAAAAAAAAAAAAAAAAAAAAAAAAAAAAAAAAAAAGAGCCATTTCAGCATTTTGGTGCCAAATTTTTGGGGCTTTATTGACTTTGCGCCAAGCTTGCACCTCAAGACGAATGTTTTTTGGATCGGTAATTTGGATAGCGACACGACGATATGATTCAAAACTCGCACGAAATTAGTGGGTTTGGGTTCACTATAATTGTGTTTGGGTCATAATCGAGTTGACATGATTAATAAATGAGTTAAGTTAGGGTTGATCTCCTGACATGAATTGACACGATTAACTATATGTGTCATCTGCAATCTAATATATAACTTGAAAGTTTATATGACATATTAAATACAAATAATGTGAATTTTAATATTTATAGGTTAAATTCGTTTATTTTTTTTAAAGAAAAAGATAAATTAACCAATAAACATGTTAAACAAATTTTGACCGTGTTAAATAAGTCATTATTATATTAGTTATTTATTCAATATATTAATTTAAACGGGTTATACAGGTTGACACGATTAACACGATTAATAAATGAGTCGTGTTTAAGTTGATATTTTTGATACGTTTAATAAACATGTCGTGTTTGGCTTAATATTTTCTGACACGATTAATAAATGAGTTGACACGAACACGACCTACTAACATGAATTGTCATCCTTAAATATTTTGAAACAAATATATATATATACATATATTTTGTTCACATTGCAAATTTTTGTATGAAGTCCAAGATCTGAGTCACGGAATCCGAGTTTTTGGTGAAATAGTTGTATATGGTTTTTATCTTTGTTATACTATCATGGTGCTGGTCCTGGTGGAATTATTTATTTATATTCATATATAGAAGTTTATTCACTTTTCCCCTGATTTTCCTTAGATTTGCGTTGATGTTGTACATGAGGGATCAATAAAGACACGCACTTTTCTAAACTAACTCAACTCAGATTCTACGCCACCATAATAGGCTTATATATGAAGCTTTAATTATTTGGTTAATCTGTTTTTAGTTTCTTGGATAAATGAAAAATATACAATTATCAATTGGAACTTTATGAAATTTATGCAAATATGGAATCAAGCAATAGTAATATAGGTCATCATGTACTTCAAATGATTGCGACTACTAGCTCTTCAATAGTTCATGTGCGTGGTTATGTGTAACTGAATTGACAGATCCATGTATCTATGTATTAAAGCAATAGAGTTTTATACCACCATATAATATTAATAACAAAGCATTGGTGTCATGTAATGTAACAACATGCATATCATCATTTACTGGTGCCATGAGCATATCATCTTTCATAGCCCATTGCGCCATCTAAATTGCATAGACTTTTTATTTCACGTGTATGACAGGTGGGAGCTCCAGCACGTGCTGGTCTCGTGGCTCCAGACGACGTCGTAGTCCCTCCTGGAAACACTGGACTTAGATCCTTCTCAAACTTCCTTCTTTCAGGTAATTTCATTCCCAAAACAACGTCATCCGCCACTTTCATATATATATATATATATATATATATATATATATCACCCTTAACTAGTAATAAGTATACATGCATACATACATACACACACACACACACACACTCACACTATAATCAATCCTCGATTTTCTTTCCTTTTTAATTAGGCTCTCAATATCCCAACCAAGATCAACAAAGGTACTTCTCTCAAAGCTTGGGATAAGGCCATTCTCCTACGCCTTGGTTGTGCTCTGTGCGTACGACCAAGGGTCGGTCTTCAGCTCTGAGGTGCTCGATCTCACAGACGACGATCTCGTCGAGAAGTTTGCCGTTGGTGTGGCCACTCTCACTTCTGCGTCGCTTGATCTCTCGTACCCAACTATCGCTGCTGCGCCCCACATGCTGATCAACGCCTATAAAAACATTCAGGATGTAGGGGTGGCCACAGAGTATTCCTTCCCACAGGTGGAGAGCGTGAAGGAATACTTGAAGGTTTGTATTTTTACTATCGTTGTTCAATTCTTGTGAATCTTTTTTGTGACTTCCTTATAGCGATTAATCTGATCAACGTCTTCTCGAACCACGAAACTGCAGGATCCGAGCAAGTTTGTGGTGACTTCGCAAGTTCCTGTGGCGGCTGTTGCTGATATTGGTGTTGGTCCAACAGGTGATGCTGCTGCCAAGGAGGATAAGAATGACGAAGAAGAGGAAGAAGAAGATGATAAGATTTTGGGGTTGTTCGACTAAGTGGTTTTGCTATGCTAAGAGTATTATTGCCTTTTGAACCATATACATTTTATTTTTTTCTTTTTCTGGACGATTCCTAAGCATGTCTGAGGTACTAAGTACTGTTCTGTGTGAGCACAGGTGGGTACTGTTTCGTGGTAAAAGTAAATCGGCTAGTTGCTAAACGTGTAACGTGTTAGCCTATTAGTTTGCAGTGTATGTTTGTGTTTTGAAAATGAGAATTGTTAACAGCCTACACTTTGTGCATGGTTTTTCATCTTTGTATCAGTCTGTTCCCATTTTGTAGCCTTGGTCGTGCCATCTTAGATGCTTTGTTTAGAAACCACTGACTTGAGTTTTTAATTCGATAAAATGAACAGACTGTTAAATTATTTTGTTGCTTTGACCGATGCTTGATGAGTGGCCTAAGGTCTATGGTCCCACGCAATGCTAACGTGGATACGGGCCATCAATTACAGTTTTTTCAATCTGCGTTAACGAATATTATGCATAAACCATATACCTCGGGTTATGGATTAACTTTAATGCTTACCCGCTCGTTATAGCATGGAAATAGGTCCTATTTGTCCTAAGCAAAGAAGCACATTTTGATCGTCAGTTGGGTACTTAAAGCTGAAAAGAATATTATCAATGATAACTAGCAGAGAAATAAAAGGCTACACGATCTGGGAAATTTGCGAAAAGACAATTTCCAGGATGACAACTTTTCTGTATTGTTTCCTTATTGGTACGATCCATCCATTCAATCTAATTTTTTTTTCCTTGTATTGAATCTGTGACCATGTTACTTGTTAGAATCGACTTTTTTTGTTTTTTTTGTGTTGCTTGAAGAAAAAAAAATCATGTCAGAAATCAACTCTTTGCTGGAAACTGACATGCGTTGCACATTCTCCTCGTGAGGATATAGCCTTTCTCATCTGCGTAAAAGCTTTTAGACAATGGGTCCTTTCCAAAGCACTTATACCTGAAGAAAATTGGAGAGCTTTTAAGTGGGGAAACCAGGAAGGAAATGTAAACAGGTAAAACTAAAAGCACACTTTGGTTTAAGAATAGCCAAACTTAAGGACCACAAGTTAGTCCCAACATCATATGCTTTGTAAAAACAACAATTAAATTTGAACCCGGCAAATGGAAAACGACGAGTAACGGAGACAGACAACCCTGTTAACGACAAAAATAAAATGACATCGAGTTAAATAACAAAAAATAAAAATAAAATAAACGACATAAAGAATTGAAACGACAATAAAACTAAATGAAGGTGAAATGACACTAGCATATAAACGACAAAAAAAAAAAAAAAAAAAGATGGAAATTCAATTAAATTGGCAAACTTCTATAAATGCCTTCTATTTTTCTTTCCCCAGAAAAAAAGCGTACAAGAAAATCAAGTGATATTTTTATGTTCCTTAATGCCCTTTATAGCCTTTTTTCAATTATACTCCATGTTGTATTGTTCCTCCTAGTTGTCGTCGGGATTAAGCACCAAGAAGTGAGAATGCTCTTTTTTTCAGCATTAAGAACACTTTTATTTAAGTACAATATGATATCTTTCTATATTACTAGCATTCTTACGGATTCCCTCGCGAAAAGTTTCGCACACTGCTAATCCGTTTCTAACGGATTCGCTCGTGAAACGTTTTCACAGAAGGTTTTTTTTTTCTTTTTTTTTTCCTTTTACGTTTTAGGTTTTTTTTTTTTTTTTTTTTTTTTTTTTTTTTTTTTTTTTTATACTTATTAGAGTTTTTCTATCAATCTTTTGCTTTAAATTTTTCTCCCCTCTTTTGTCTTTATTCTTTTATCTTTTTTTAATCTTTTTTTTTACAACAATTTGATAACCATTGTCGGTTGTTTTAAATGAGTGTCGCGCGGAGTGCACGTTTTTTACTAGTATAAATTAGAATAAGAATGCAATTCTATAGGTAAAGTTAAAGCATTTTGGGGACAAACGTAAAGCAAGATCTCTAACCTTGTAGTTGGAGCGGATGGAGAACTTGGAAAAGGATGCCACCAAAATCAAGCACGAAAGAATCAGGACTACTTTTTACAGAACTTACTGAAGACAGTTTCGGAAGAAACGGATTCCCTGTTTCGCATAAACAAACAATAAATAAACAAGGAAAAGGCCAAAAGGCTACCTGAAATTGTGGAAACAAACGTATGAAGCAGAACGTATAATAGATGGCTTATACTTGATGTCCGTACCTGCAATGCAAAACTGATGTCTGCTTCATCTACTTTTAGAGTCACTCTTTTGAACTTCTCTTCTCGAGATTGACCGAGCTTGAGTAGCCCCTGCAGTGCTCGGAAAATAATGCTTCAGTAACCTTTTTTTCCAAAATTTTAAGTAATGTAACCAAATAAAAGATCAAATTTCATTCTCACCTGATCATTTAGCACCCTGCACAAACTTGAAAGCTCCAAAATTCCTACTGGTGGGATCAATGCTGATTTGCAGAAGTCCACGTAAGACTTATTCAACTGCATGCATTTAGCAAAATAAAAAGTCAGTAATGAGATTGACAGCTGTTTTGTGGGACAAACTGATAAGTAGGATGCTTACCTCCCCTATTGTTGTATCCTTCTTTCCTCCGCGGAAAAGCTTCACAGCAGAGCATAGTATGATCTGTGGTTAAGGAAGCAGGATGAGTAGAAAAGATGGTTAATTGAGTAAGTTTTCCATCTAATGTTGTTTACTAAATAAAACAAATGTATTTGTAGATAACATGGAATACCGGAATCTTATTAGCAAAATTACCTGCTGATGGTGCGGAAGAGACTGTATGGTGTCCACTACTTGTGATTTAAATGTCTTTGATAAAGCAACAGCCATGTGATCAATCCTAACCTGCAACAAGAATATTTTTTGGACTTTTGAGTGAAAAGAAAATGTGGAAATAAGCCTGGTAAAGGTAAAAATATTTCAACTATTGAGATTTCATCAGTTTGTGATTTGCAACTATAAGTCTAAATGCAAATTGCCTCACGATCTCCTAGTGGATTATTATAAGAGGAAACACGACATGCAAAATGCACACCAAGTTCCAAGGATTGAGTCTCAGAACGGATTATGAAAAATTATGGTGCACTTACGATATCAATTTCCTGTTTTTTCACGACTGCAACATCTGGATCATTATGTTTCTCAAAGAACGTCGTCTCTACTGATGAACAATTCAAGTTGTTGGAAGACTCTCTTAGCTCTGCCTCTAGCATCTCTATTGCGCTCCTGAACAGTAGATTCAAAAGAAAGAAAAAAAAAGGTTAAGCGCTGATTTGCAGTTTCTAGACCTGAATTCGAAGGTCTTTTTCAAATTTTCATGTATGGTTTACAATTTAAGTCTACTGCCACACAAGTAAGTTGTAGAAAGTCAAACTAGAGCCTGAAGCAAACTCTGATTAGGCATGCTCAACATGTTAATTACACACACACGCACAAAAACTGAAATGTTGAAACCATGGTACAATTCCACAAGGCCATGATTCTATTTTCACTCTAGAATTTACATAAGTTGCCTAGGGTTGACCTTCATGACATCTACACGATGTAAATCCTTCACAAGGCTTCTAATCACATACAAAAGTTACTAAAAAAGCTAATACATCTCTTATCAAATCGGAATGAGACTAAGTTCTGTTAATTGCATCTATAACTCATTTGGCTATGCAATACATAACTGAAACAATTATGACAACACTAACCTGCAAACACAAAGAGCTTTGCGCATATCCCCAGATGCAGCAGCAACTTTCTGCCATTTAAAAAATTACTTTTAGTACCAACAACTTAATGAAAAAATGTTGAGCTACAATTAATTAGCGACAGATCTTGGTAAACTTACTCTGGCACAAAGCTCTAGAGCTTGCAGTTGAAAGATGGTGTAAGGTAATGCCTGCTATAACAAATATACTAATAATCAGAATTAAAAACTGTAGAAACTGTATCTTCTGTACATATAAAAGCTTCCTTTAAATTTACACCCTCAAAAAATATGTATCAAGTAATCTAAAGGAAAAGAAACTAAAGAAAACTCTGACCAAATTGACAGTGACCATTTTAGAAATTGAAAACATTATAACATTAACAAAATAACTTACTGTTAGCCGCTCTTGAAGAATCTTAAGGATTTGATCTTTGGAGTATGCTCGAAATGTTATAACCGCAGGCTTGCCTGGAACAATAAAGTGATGGTATTGAATCAGTATAACACCCCACCCACAGGGCAGCTAATTGTTTTTTCACAGAATTGTAACCAAACTAAGAGCACGGGGCTAGGGTGGCAAAGCACTCTTCCTCAGCTCTACCCATTAGTGAGAAATAGTAACAAAATGCATCTCAAAGAACATGGACCGATAACAATTTCTGAGTCTAGGACAAGGCAATGAGACTGAGACAGTACTATTTGTTGAGAAAAGTACATGTGTGTGTTGTCCTACATGAAAAGTGAATGAGAATATGAAATGGTTTATATACAGAGAAGGACCCAAGACCTAATAGGTTAACCTTTTGGGTCAAGTTGGGCTCCTGAAGTGTATTGGGCCAATTTTGCATGTGGTGTCTCCCCAACAAGTGGTATCAGAGCTGATGGTTCGTATGGATCAAGCGATCACACTCAGTTACAATTCCCACGTTGCCTCCCGTGGAGAGTTGGTGTTCCCGCAGGTGTGCGGCTGGTGGAGCATTTGGTGGACTCGCATGGTTTCGGCTCTCTTTCCCATGCTTGAGTTGGCTCCCGTTTGGAGTGTGATGCTTGGATGTGCCAGCTACTTGAAACTTTAACTTGAGGATCTTGGTGAACACACACATGAGGGGGAGATTGTTGAGAAAAGTACATGTGTGTTGTCCCACATGGAAAGTGGATGAGAATGTGAAGTGGTTTATATACACAGAAGGACCCAAGACCTAATAAGTTAACCTTTTGGGTCAAGTTGGGCTCCTGAAGTGTATTGGCCCAATTTCACATGTGGGGTCTCCCCAACACTATTGAACATATTCAGGAAAAGTTGCTAGCCTAGGGGGGAAAAAACGTTTACGACGAGTGATAGGCAGGCAATCAAAAAACAGGAAAGAGATATATACCCAACACAATTTATGTTAAAACAGTTGTATTTGAATTGCCATAATTTCATAACCAGGAGAAACTTTTCAGAATATCTAGAAACTTAAAATGTTGTATTACTCATGGATATTCATAATTCACATACAGATAGGAATTCTTACTCGAGAATGCAGTCAACTAGCAAGAGAAGTTGTATCCATCAAAAGGTGTTGAAAAAAGGACTATCAAAATTGTTGGATTACAGAAAGAAACAATGAAAGTGTATTACAATGCATAGAACATGCGAAATTAAAGCAAAAACTGAACTCACAATTTAATGATTGAAGTCTCGGAAGAAAGCGGTCAGCTAGGTCTATTGCATTTGCTATTCCTGCAAAAAGAAAATGATGTGAGCATCAAAAGGTCCGCAAACGACAGGGTTTCACTCCCTAAAATCTTTTAGAGCAATTCACATCCAAGTAGAGATTTACCGCCCGGAAGTCAAGTAAATAGTACCTATGAGTACACATCTAGATAATGGCAATGTTGTGAGCATGAAAAGATCATGAAGCACTGCCCGGTCTTTAGTTATCAAATAATCCAACTCATCAGCAATTATGATCCTGATAAAATAGAAGAATATTAATACACTTTCAATATGCTAAAGAGATGCTACTAATCGCATTTTCCATCCAAAGACATAAAGATGACATTGACTGTGAGTGCAAAAATCATAGCAGACTAAGGATTAGTTGCTTACATCATCTTTCTGCCAGATGATTGCGGTTTATGCGAATACAAGTTCTGGAGAAGCTGCAATGGTGAGGTAGAGCCATTACTTCTCTTTCGCGGTTGGTCTTTACCCAGTATCTGCTAGTAAAACTGCAGCTAAGTGTTTGCTATTTTCAATGAGCAATAGAATTTTTATAAGCATCATTACCTTGCTGAAAATATCGCTTGTGTTTGTAAGTGAGGTACAATTTATGGCTAATACGTCCGGTTTTCCGTGTCCAGTCTGGTAGTGAAAACAATAACGTGTCTCATAGATTAGTAAATGAAACCAGCACATTAAATGACCTACTTTTTATGTGGGAAAACAGAAATCTCACCTCTTCTGCCCAATCAAGCAAAATCTGTTTCACGTTTTCCATTGACAACGATTTTCCAGTCCCAGGACATCCACAAACATATAAACTTCCAGCCTTCTCTTGCTCTATGCACGATTTGCAGAACTCCAACACCTTCTTTTGCTCCTCTTCGCGGCAAACTATAGCCGACGGTGCCGTCGATACGTGCAACGCCTCCTTCACCGCCCTAATTTGCTCCGCATCTACAAATTTTTTTCCAGTCGAATCAATTACTCAGATTTCACCAAATTTCAACACATTAACTCAATTCAACACAATCTCACCTGCCGGATTCCAATTCTGCTTGGCGGTAAAATCGTTCAACAAACTCTTCACCGGAGATTTCCGCAACTTAGGAAGCCGTTTACAGATCTTACCCTCAATTCCCTGGAAAACGACAATTTCAGCCCAAAAAAAAAAAACACACTTCAATTAATCTTCGTCGATTACTCAATTCCTTGTGACTAGCAGTAACACTCACGTTTTCAGGTGTGTTGAGGTTGACATCGGCGGATCGGCGAGGCGACGTCCTTTTCATCGGAGTGGAGACCGGGCTCGCCTTCATCGGCGATGAGTTAGATCTCAGCTTCCGTTTCTGTGGAGTGCATTCGCCGTTGGATCGGCCGGTGTTCTCAGATCGGAGATCCATGGAACCGCCGTGTTCGGTTCGGCTGGCGAGGGACGAAGATTTGCGCTTGGCTAGGGCGGGCATGGTTGTTGTGATTTTGGAGGGAAATGTGTGTGTGATAGTTTGGTATATTGGTACTTCTTCTCTGCGGCGTTGGCGAGGTATAGAAAAATAAATAGGCGCGCAAAAGAGATAAAACAGCGTGATCTTTTTAGCGGGAAAGCGTAATCGCTCCTTTCGCGCCTGACGTTGGTCAAATTTTAAACTCGTAGACGGCTTTTATTAAGGGTGAATTAGACATTATACCATTGTGTGTAGATTCTGTAGAATGTAGATGCTTGAAAACAGTCTTCTAAGAAAATGAAAGAAAAATGCTTAAGACTTACTAATAGAATGTAAATTTCATATGTGAATCTCATACTAAGAAGTCCACCTTCAACAAATAGGTGGTACTATGCATTACTAGTGCCCTATAATATTCCTCTTTCAAGTCAAAATTGACGCCAAATCATATATAATTTATTAATAATGAAATTTATTCTTAATAAATTGCAATGTAGGAATGATATACTAAAAACAAATAAACTTAAAACATTACAAATAAGCGACAAAAAAAAAGATTAAATCAAATGAAATATGAACTCAACTAGAACTACTGAATAATTCTTCTCACATTTAAATAAAATAGAAACGATCCAAGAGTTCACGTACCTAATAAAAGATTATGAAAACACATCGCAGATGCACCGAAACTTCAGAAAACAAAGAATCAATGAATTAAAAATAGTCAAATCAATTCATTCTAACTCATATTTATAAGCTGATATACAATTTTGTACTTCCAAAACGAATATGGGATCTGAAATTAGTCGAATGAAGTAGATAATTTACTTGTTAGAAAAGTTTAAAAAAAGGAGGGGTTAAAAATCTCTCCTCATTCCATGCTTGCAGGGTGGGAGACCCGGACTTTCATACTTTAATACCAATGTGCCCACCAATATTAAACACAAAAAAAAAAAAAATATATGTTGTTATGCCCCAACCCAAGGAAGGGCTTTTGGTGAGGAGCATTGTTTCAAGAGAGAGGGAAAGCGTGGTTGACGAAATACCATTTTTCTTTAAAGAAAGTCCCGATTTAATGATTTACATAAATTTAGTTTTTTTTTTTTCAATTCTTAAAATAAATCAGCCAAGCTTTCTGTGTTATGTTGAGAAAGAATTCAACGATTCAGAAACAACGAAGAAAGGAGAATCATGAAATCCTTCATAGGTTGGATCCAATTTGATAACTAATAGCGGTTTGATCTTCTTGCATAGTCTTCACGCTGGGTGGGTCATCGGAACCGCAGTGCTGTCATGCGCGGAGATATGTCATTAGGGGTTTGTCACCGTCGATGGACAGAAAGCCATCGCCGGTTGGTGAGAGGCGGGGGGATAAGCAAGACGCCATTTGGATTTTTGGACAAAATTATCTTTCTACTATGCTGAGTTTGGTATGGCTTTTCCTTCCAAAAATCAGTTTATGCTTGTAACATAAATTGATTTTAATATTTGATAAATCTTCTCAAAAATGCTTTTTGAATAATTTTTAAAAACTCTAGAGGCAAAATCAGAGACAACTTAAAGATAATTTTAACTTTTAGATTGTGTAAGAATCAGTATAGTACAATTAATGAAATTTTCATAATACCCACAATACTCTTAATAAAATTTAAAATTTACAATTTTTACAATCTAAAATTAAACTCATAATATAATATAATATAATATAATAGTAATACTGTAACAAATAATATTACAATAATATTAATAACTCTAATATTATTATTTTATTTATTATAATAATATTATAATTATTTTAATAATATGATATTATAATTATTTTAATAATATGATATTATAATTATTATTTTATAATAATATTATATATTATATTGTATTGATATAATTATATTTATAATAATAATAATTA